TGCGGAGGTGGTGGGGATGCCGGAGCAGGCGGGGACGGCGCGAAGACGACGGAGGCGGATGGCGGAGGAGGAGGAGGCGGTGATGGAGAGATGGCGGTGAACATGGAGACGGGGGTGGCGGCATTGGTAATGGTTTAGTGAAGAATAAGGCCATCACTGGAGAGAGCGGTGTCAATCTCTTACTAAAAATGAAATAACTTTAATAATAATAATAATAATAATAGTAATAATAATAATAATAATAATAATAATAATAATAATAATAATAATAATAATAATAATGTTGTATACGTTTTGGACCATATAGGATCAATCTCAGGTAGATTCCAGGAATTAAGACTTTGGTAGTTTAGATATTTATTGTCAGCCCAACGTTGCGCACATGTGCCTTTTCAAGAGCAGTTTAGAAATAACGGTTGACAATATAGTAGAGAATAAAGTTTCACATAATAAAAACACAAGGAATACGAAAATATTAAATAATTACACACAATTTGGTGTTTACATCAGAGTAAAACATATTACATGAAAAGTTTCTAAAAACGTTGAAGGTGGCATCCAACTTAGTGGTTACAATAATCCATGCACCAGTTGCGGTGGGTAGCAAAACACAAGATACGTTATGCAGTGCAAATATTGTAAATTCACAACATCATGGAGTAATCAAATTTATAAGTCGTTGCTAATGAACCAACATTTTTAATTACGTTTGCCAATACCACTGTTGACTCTATGATGCCCTGAATTTACAACTATTTACTCTTATTTTTAAATATACTGGTATAAAAATATACAAGTACTAATAAGCCAAAATAATTTAATATTTATTACGAAAAAAGGAACTAAATATCGTAGGTGATCGCCTAGTTTGCCTACAGGGTGCCTACTGTGTATTCCACTCTCGGTCCTGTCTTCAAATTCAAATTTACATGAACATATCACTTTCCGTCTTGTTTTAGGTTATTTTTATATTTTTTTAAAAAGTTTTTTTGGAAGGAACCATCACTTCCGCGTGCCCCCTCTCGAATGAAAGAATGAAATTATATCGAGATTCGAGTAAGATTTACGACTTTCGCCAGTGTAAAAATTCAATCCAGAGCAACCTGTGTGTCGACTACGCTATCTCGAGCACTACGTAAACGAGATAACCCTCCCGTCTTGCAGATAACATGGATGCCCCTGCCGTGAAAACGGATACTTACTTTGCCACAAGGGTAAGCCAACATCTAGAGGTATTTAGGCCATGTTACTGCGCTTGTGGGCATTTCTGAGCGTATGTACTTTTCTATATTATTATTATTATTATTATTATTATTATTATTTTTATTATTATTATTATTATTATTATTATTATTTCTTTTATTTTCTCATTTCATTGCTACATTTAAATGGATTATTGTACAGATTTACAAAATCAAAGGACACACCTATATAATTTCTGCCTGTATCCGGTCACATCTGTGTCAATTTTTGTGTTCCGGTAGTAGATCCGCATTATTTGTTCATTAATAGCCTGCGTCGTGTTGGCAGCCTTGCTTGAGTTGGCACTGGTTGAAGCCCCTGCGCAACACCTTCAGCCGGGGAGACATTCGATGTTGGTTCGCTCCTTTCAGGCTGTCGCGTTTCGGGTATCCCGACCAGGGCCCGCCTGCACAACTGCTGGTCACCATCAACTCGCCTACTGTCACCCCCAGCGATGGCTCCAGAGGTGCCCCGACGCTCCTCGGGTAGCGGCTTATTTTTCGAGGTTTTCTTTCTAGGACATGTCTCGATATTAAATTAAATGGGTGCATTTTATTCCTACTGCCAGGTTGGTCCTCTTCTGATGGTTGTGAGGTCCTCATCTTCTGGAGTACTTCTTCGTCTGTCCCTCACAACCGACCTGTCGGAAAGGGAGGCCCTACAGAGCTAAGCTACCGCCGGCATAGCTCTCAGGATCATTAGGGTACTCAACTCACCACCAATGTCAAGATCATTTACTCCTAGGTGGAGTTCCATTACTATTATTATTATTATTATTATTATTATTATATTAATTATTATTATTAGCGTATCGATTCATTTCTGACCACGCTACACGATTGACGTGTGTCACTATAGGTATCAGCTTTTCGGTTGTATCCCTTAGTGAAAACAAGATTGCTGCGCCTTGAAGTGTAAATTATGAAGATGATATGATGATGAGGGTGAAGGGACAATCACAAATAGACCTACGCAGGCTCGAACCGCAGCTCCTCAGGGCAGACGAAGGCTGCCTCAAACGTCTGCGCCACGAGGACGTCCGTTTTAATTATTATAGCTATCAATAATAATAATAATAATAATAATAATAATAATAATAATAATAATAATAATATACTGCAATATTATTATTATTATCATTATTCATTTTGTTATCTTTAAAATAGTTGCATTTAGGTGTAATACATTTGTAGCAGATTTCGAAGTACTTCCGAAACGCAGTCTCAAAGCCTAGCAGGTGTATTTTATGAACCCCTCTGAATGTTACAAGCTGTTTACCACTGTACCATGCTCCTGAAAAATATGTAAACATAGGTACTCTGTGATTTTGAACTCTTCGAAGAAGATCAAACCAGAACTTTGTCACCAACCAGAGGTCCAGATGAATAGTACGATTACAGAGTTTATTTATTAGTACAAAACTGTTTGGGTAACCAGGTGCCAACTGAAAAGGGGGTTGGATACGATCAATGGAACACTCGAGAGACAATTTTGAAGTCAATATTTTGCAAATGTACTGGATGTGGGCTGCGATGCGGATATTGTAAGTCCAGTATAAGATGCTCAGTCTGTGCCAGTTGTCAGGGAGCCTGCACGAAAGGCCTTCCAACAGAAGATGAACTTGATGAGGATATGAACGAAGAACAAGAATTCTGACTATGTCGGCGATTTACAGAAAATTCTTATAACCACGCTTAACCTTCTTCAAATTAAATTATTACTCTCCAAAAATTAAATTCTTTTAAAGTACTAATTTTCGTTCAACTTATCACTCAAAGGTATTAATCCTATTACAAAAGTGCAGAGGACCTTTTGATAGGAAATTGCAATCCACTATCAATTCTCGGCGTATTTCTAAAAGCAATGATAACTGAAAGTGTAAGATAAGATTTGACACTAGAGAAGGCTTGGGATTATCCGAGCCGTGGGGCCCATATCAGCTTTACAAATAAATTCCGTGGTGGTAGCAGATACCTTGTGGCAATCCATAATATGGTAAAGGAAATAATCGTCCACAAAACATTTAATAATTTTATTAATTATTACCCAGAGTTAACTTTCGAGAAACACTTTTCCCATCCTCAGTAGGTCTCTAGCTAGGAGGAGAAAATTGAAACATTAACACAAGTTGAACAAAAGAAATACAATGAATTTAGTGGAAAAAACAAATAATAAATAAAATTGAAAATACTTACTGCCTAAGCAACGTGAATCACTCATAAATGTTCACAACATTGTCAAAAAATATGAAAACAGCAAAACAAGCTGGTTAGAGCTAGTTAGCAGCCATCTTTTGGAATGGGAAAAGCGGGGGAGGGGGGATAGAAGAGAAGAATTGGTAGTCATAAACAGATTTAAAATTGACTGCTTTTCATACAGGAATGTAAAACAGGACAGAAAATTAGGAATTTGCAAGATTCTAGAATTATTAATTATATAAAGAACGAATCTTAAAAAAGTTGACTAGATAAAGAGATGGCAAAAAGGGAAAAACAGGTCAAAAGAATGATTAGGGGGCTAGTTAATAAAATATTTGAAATGGGACTGCTTTTATTTAAGGAATGTTCATTCAAGATAGAAAAATTAGTATTTTTGAAAAGTTTTAGAATTTTCAAGTTCTCCAAAATGTTCATATTTGTGCCTTTGTTGACTAAGTGAAAGATTTTAAAATTATAATTAGGGTCAAAGGAATGGTTAAATTGAATCAAATGATTGGCAAGGTGTAAGTGTCTAACTTTTGTTTCCAACATCTAATATGCTTATTAATTCTAACTGAAAATGTTCTGCCTTTTTGACCTACATATGTTGAATTACAGTTTTTACACGTTAGGTGATAAATGCCACTTCTTTCAATGGGGTGATAGGTGATTTGTAAGTAGAGTAATAAAGATAGGAGGGAGTTTAAGGTTTTGTGGGCTTCTGAGATATTGTATTTAGTGAAACTTTGTCCTATACGTTTAGATACGGGACCTATGTAGGGGATGCAAATAAATTTATTTGGTTCTACAGGGCAATGTTGAGGAAAAATCTTATTTAAAATCATTTTTACACTTTTTTGGTGGATACGTTTATTGACTGTCAGAGGATCATAACCATTATTTAATGCAGTGGTTAGAATGGTATTGACGTCATTACTAAAATCTATATCGGTCGTAGGAACCTGGAATAGTCTGTTGATCCAGGAATGGAAAACAGCAAATTTATGAATGTGAATATGATTAGAATGGGAAAGTATGATCATACCTGATTCAATAATCGAACACTTCATTAAAAATGTTTCGACTTTTGGCCGCAGGAGTGCTGTGGGACGATTAACACACGAGGGGAGAAAAAACTGAGAGTTCAGAGTAATTAAAAACAGTTTGTTAATATCGCGTATGCTTAAAAATTTGATCAAAGAAAATTATTCCATGGCTATCAATTAAAAAATTAGAGGTGCTAAAACAGCACGAACTTCCTCGCACGCATTTTCACCCAAATTTACGCGAAAAGTTCTCAAAGTTTTGAAAAATTTTGTATGACATTATTTCAAAATCTATCTTTAAGGAAGAGCTTTCATTAAGGGAAAATACCTTTAATACTTTGGTTGAAGGAAGATTCCAAAAAAATTGAATTTTGCAATTTTTCGAAAAATAGGGTTTTCAACGAACGTGTTCCCTGCACCATTCTCTTCAACGTCCTTTATACTACCCAACAAAAAAATTAATCAAAACCAATGGAGCCGTTTTTTGGAAAATTGGAAAATGTCCCAGGGGTTTCATGTAAATTACCCCTCAAAATTAAAATATCAGTTTATAATTGAAGGGCCCATGACACCACTCAGATCGATTGTGGTATATCAATTTTGGAGGAAAGAGGCTGAACTGTTTAGCCGCTAGCGTTGTTTACGGACAGAGACGGACGGACAGACAGACCTTTTGCCACCGTTCGATTTTTCGCTATCAAGGACCCACAAAACATGGATTTGGACAAATGATTGAGGTGAGGGTGTTTTCCTTAATTTATCAACTAGATTTATCCACTTTTTCGTTACCACGCCCTGTAATAAGTTTTTCTGCCGAAAATTCGCCGTTTCTTCGCGCGGCATTATATAACTTTCTCTTTACTCTGTAGTGAGAAAGTAAACAAAAAGATGCATTTCCCCTGAAACATCAACGCAAATATTTCGTATTTGATAATTACTTTCAGAAGAAGAAAATAGGGCCGAGGTGGCTGAGAGCGTGTACCGACTCAGCGCTTTGGTACCAAGGGTCGTATGTTCGAGTCCCGCCTTGGACATGGTTGTTTGTCCGTTGTCTCTCGTGTAGTATGTGTTGTCGCGGAGGGTTTCGCATTCTGCTGACCCCAGATAAAGAAAAGAAAGAAAAGAAAGAAAAGAAAGAAAAGAAAGAAAAAAAAGAAAAAAAAGAAGAAAGAAAGAAAAGAAAGAAAAAAAAGAAGAAAGAAAGAAAAGAAAGAAAAGAAAGAAAAAAAAGAAGAAAAAAAGAAAAGAAAGAAAAGAAAGAAAAGAAGGAAAAGAAATAAATGAAGGAAAAGAAAGAAAATAAATAAAAAAAGAAAGAAAGACTGTTCTTAGTTCTTTCTGTAATGGATCTGTTGGCCGTGCCATATCATTTCATTCATTTCTACTTACAGTAGAGACCAACCGTCATAATGTGCTAGCATGACTCCACAGACATAGAAAGGAAACTTACTTCCTATGTTCCTTCCTGGACAGACTAAGCTCGCGGTAACAGAAAGTGTAAGTCTCTGTGAATGAATCTTATCAAGGACACGATCATCAGCGGGTGATACATACGCAGGCACGTGTTTGTATTCATAATAGCAAGGGAAAGGAAGAAGTTTTGTGCTTTGTCATACACAATTATACGTCATTCAAACTTTTTCCAACGGAAGATATTGATTCATTGGTATAAAAAGAATGACAATATATTAGTGAATGGCGAGAGGCGGTTCTACGACACGCACGTTGAATGCAAGAGAATTGGGAAAACAAATACAGAACGAATCTTACCCGGGAATCCGCTTATCCGTGCACCGTTTCATAATGAAAGTGGTTCGATGAACGAATTGAGAAAAGGCCTGTGACAAGACTCTAACCTGCAACCTCGGACTGATTCACTCGAAATTAATTTAATTAACTGATTTGGAAATTAATCTTGAATGAATCAACACGAAGGAGAATGTAGAAAAGAAACCCTAAATAACGCTAGTGAAGCTACAACAGCACATACTTTCTTTTCTCGTAATATTGGTAACGGTTACCTCCTACCCTAACATTTGAATCACCACTCGAAAAAGGTATATTTCTTAAAACAAGTAGGGTTTGTTTTACTTTCTCGCCATTAGTAATGGTTATTTATACCACAATTTCTCTCCGAATTATTTTTTATAATACTTATTTGAAATCGTAGAACATTTAGTGTGAAAAATAAGCATAATTGAGAGAATTAACTAAAACAATTACATGCTAATAAATAACATGATTCTGATAGCGTTGGGAAACAAATAGATCGAAAAACATATAATAGTAATTATTAAATGAATTAAACACAAATTAAATGAATTGAACATTAAAATAAGTTCTTTGTGTTACGCTTTCAGAATTCTTTCAAATTCAGTCAGCCTTCACACAGCTCGTTGTGCATATTTCCCGAATGTTTAAAGGACGCAATTTCCCGAATTTAAAATGAAGTAACAAAAATATAATATAAATCACAATATTAAAATGAAATGTTAAATAATATATAAATTTTAACTTCCGTAGCATCCAACTGCGTCAATTGGGAGCGGGCAACTGAAGGCTAGCTATCTTTATTTCATATTTATTTTAAATATGTTTGAAATAATTTCTAAAATATTAATTTGTAAAGTATAACAAAAGCTACAATGTAAGAAACGAACAAATAAGTATGAAATAATACACACATTCTGACACGTAGCATCCAACAATCTCTGAAACACCTAAAAAACGATAAGGAAGTGCAGAATTTTGAGAGCGGATGATTAACTTTGGCGTCCCCTTCATAATTGTACTTGTAGAAAGACGCCAAAAGAATTCTGAATTTTTTCAATTTTCCAAAAATCAGGATTATATTTCCGTTTTATTTTCCTGCGCTTCATATCAGTATCAATATATAAAAAGGCGGTAATAAATTAACTTAATATTACAAATCGTAGAATATTTGTAATTTAATTAGTTTATTAATATTAGAGATATTTATCAACTGGATATGATGTACTACGACGAACCGATTTACGAAATTGTAATCTGAATGCAAATGGAAATAAGCGTTTTTGCAAAGAAATGTTTTATTCGCAATACGAATGCACATAGTTTTTTAACAACGCTGTGCCCAACAGTGCTTTGCTCTCTTCTGTATAATTTTCTGCAATTACTGTATCAGTCAAATGTATTTCTGTTTGTTTCATTTGTCAAACTAAGAAATGATTGCTGTTCCTGACTATCGAAATGAATGCAGATATGCATCACAGGCGATTTGTTTTTGAATTGGACATTTTCAAGTATTGGCTCAGGTGTTAGTGGCGCAGAAAATGCAATACTTCAATATTACGTAGCTGTTTCCAATAACGCGAGCCATTTTTTGAAAATTTTGGAAATGTCCCATGGACATCATGTAAAGCACCCCCTCCAAAAAATTAAAATATCGATTTCAAGGGCCCACGAAATCAGCCTGATCGATGGGAGAATATCAATTTTGGAGAAAATTGGCTGAACGGTTTTCGCCCCTAGATTTGTTCACAGACGGACGAACAGGCGACTTTTTGCCGTTCAACTTTTCGGTAATAAGGACCCACAAAACATAGATTCTGGTTAAACCCCGTGTTAGAGGATTTCCCCCCTAAATTTGGCATCTGGATCTATCCACTTTTTCGTTACTAGGTCCCCCGTTTTTTTATACTTCAAGTTAGACAAATTAATTTCAATACTTCCTCACAATGTAAGAGTCTCAATGTAAAAGATTTCCCTTACACCATGATAAGAACATAAGAGTATCAAGCAAACGCGAACACTATATTACGGCTATCTCATTGGGCATTATAAACTACGAGTTTTAAATTAATTGAAATTGAAAACAATTAATTAATCAATTAATTTAAATTAATTGAAAAGTCTTACTAGATTAGATACTAGAAGATGAAGTCAATGAACCTCAACCATATATAACCAATGTGAATATATTACATTTCTAATACTAAAATTAATTATTGAACTTTTATATTATCCGTTTATAATAAATAAGATAAATTATTTGAATATCATCTGAAATGGGCTGTGAATATTGAAAAGAAAAATTATGAGATTAACAATCATGTAATAAGAGCTTTCTTCATGAAGCAATTAAGGGGGAAATTGAAGTACACTGGTGTTTCCTTCATTAGCATGTTTTAAATATTAGTAAATTTGATTTCATATTTGTACTACCCGCTGATTTCTCTTGACTCTCCAACCAACTAGATTGAAGTTGACTTTCCCATGCATGATGTGTTTCGAGTGTTTCCAACAGTGGCATTCTAAAAAATGTCATTTTTGTTGCTGCTTTGTGCTTTAGATATGTACTGAAAAAGAAAATGTTACCAAGATATCTCTTGATAAGATCTACTTTATTACTGAACATTGTACTGTTTCCGAAGTTGTGATCTTATTCTCGATTTTATAGTTATAAAAAATAATTTCTTGCCAATGATAATTGTAGGAGAATCTGCAGTGTTGGTAAAACTGAATACTTTGCGTGAGCGCTGAGTGTCGTGTGGCGTGATAAATCACGTAATACTAATATTTTCCTATGCACAATGTGATACCGGCTGAATTTAATTATTTATTTTCGTGTGTCGCTTCTCAGGAAATGGAGATTCCAAAAGCTAAAGTACTGGTGTACGTATTGACTTTCTTGGGTTATGCTTGGAGTGGTTACGGGGCTGGAATTTTGACTAATTTGAGAGATGCTATCCTTACGGCGGAGCACGTATTTGGCGATGTCTTTGAAAACATCATTACAATTGCTAATAAATTCAGGGACGTTCATGAAGTATTTGATAAGGCTGTAGAAGAAGAGTGTATTTTTTCTTGTCCTAACGGTGAGTAGTTGTGAATTATCAGACTCATTGTCAATAACATTTTCACCAGAAATACTTTTGTTTTTTTATAAACAATAATAGAAACTTGTCTTATTAATATTTTTAAGCCTAAAGGGTTAAATTAAACTTATTTTCAGGTGCAAGGCCAGTCCCTGATAAATATCACAGGCCATCTAGTGATGGATGTGGGTCTTTGGGTTTGAAGGTAATTATTTGAATTTTATTGTAATGAATGTAAATATGTAATGCACGAGATCATCAGGAAAATGTCACTGTCATGATGACTGTACAACGACCACAGTCTTCATGGTCACTGTAAATAGTCTATTAGACACTTCCAGCATTGTTTCAGCAGAACACATTGCTCAGCTTGAAATACAAGAAGTCTTTAAAGAGTTGAATCAGGTGCAAGTATGGCAAAATTTCTACCTTTAAAATGATCATGGAAAGGTTTTTAATTTATTAAAACAGTGAATGTTGTATTTTTATAATTGTTATTAAAGTAATCAATTATTTAAACACATAACTTCTCAAAGGATTTTACACTTTGGATTTTTTGTGGGGCAAAAAGTAATAGATCTTGGAGATGCAAGCAGTATCTTTACTCCCAGTGAGATGTCAAATTGAAAAGAAATGTCTAGGGAAAATGAATGCCTATAAAAATAAGGCTTTTTTTTTATTAAGTTGTCATTTTTCTATTTTCTTGGGTAGGAATATCTTGACTACATGTCTTTGTCACACATTACTGAAAGTGAATTGTGAAAAGTACATTGTGAAAGTTGTTGGGAACTGTGAAATATATTACAACAAGATTAGGAGAAGTAAAATGGGTTCTCATAAGATTCAATTGCACTTGTTTAAAATTAATGTAAGGACAGAAGGTTCAACAGTTTCTAACAATGTCCAGAGAAGACAGGTGTGGAGTTGTAGATCCACAGAGCCCTTTATTTCAAAGAAAAGTCCACCCTCCCTAAATACAAATACACTATTTATTTCTCCAAGTAACAAACAATTTGTAGTGGTTAATCTGAATGAAAAGTAAATACGTTTTTTTGCGTTTTAAATGAAAAAAAGAAAATTGGAGCTTCAAATTACCAGTGGTTTTCTAGGTTCAGTCAGAGTTATAATATAATATTTTTGTGACATAAAAACAGCCTAATAGCAAGTGAGGATATGTATATAATCATACAATGTACATTACAGGTATTCATGTCTGGCCCTGAGGCAAGATTCTCTAGCTACCCCCCACCCCCTCACTTTTCTGCTCATGGTTTCTAAGTAAAAAGATGCTAGAAGTAAAAGGTGATTAGACGTTTATAAAATAAATTTCAATGCCAACGGTGGCGAGAATTTTTTTGTCCACGTCTAGGACCAGATTGCTTAGGGGCCACAAGTTTGAATCTTGCTGTCTGCATGGATGTTTGGCTGTTTGGTGTGTTGTCATGTTCTGAAATGGCAAAAGCTTACATCTAGGATATGGTTAAAGAATTTAGATGGTGTGAAATGTAATGGATTTGAGTGATCGTGTTAATATAAAGTTCTCAAAACTAAAATAAGGTTCATTGGTATTGAATGATTTAAAACTTTGATTGAAATAAGTCTTGTACCAGCATCCAATTGTTGATTTAACATTGCATGTGTGCACTCTATAAATGTTTTTAATTTGTCTCTACAGATTGACTCGCAGTATTTGCCTGTGAGTGATATGACTAGATGTTGTGATGAGCATGATTTCTGTTATGATATGTGCAATATGGACAAAGAAAAGTGTGACATTGACTTCAAGAGGTGTTTATATAGAATATGTGAGAAATATGAACCAGCAGTTGGTGAAACAGTTGTGAAAAGTAAGTATTATTAAAAATTGGACAGAGTATAATTCTATGGTGATAATCAGGCCTAGTATTCGCATGTAATTGCATACTAGTTTGTTCATTAGTTACAATTGTATTTTTATCATATGTTGACAAATCAGGTCTTTCAAAGTGTTTTGGCACTATTTTAATAATTTGAATTTCCAGTAAAGTACATATTTTCATGCATTTAAGGAAAACTCGCATATCTTTGAATATTTCAGCAATTTATGTGCAATATTATAGTTTTGGAAAATTATCCTTGGAACATTTAACTTTTAGTTCAATTTAAAGTAGTTAATTGAGTTAAGAAATATATCTGGATTAAACTGCAAAATATATTGCAAGGTTCAAGATGGATCCATTACTGTTTCTTATGTTGATAATCAGCTTCGGTGGTATAACAGGTAGCATATCGGACTGTTATACTCAAGTTCACTGGTTGACACCCAATCAAAGTTGTGAATCTTTAAGGGTGAAAAAAATCTTTCGTTTATCTTGCTACAAGGGGAAGTAAAACCAGATATCCCTTGTTGTAGATTTACTGCAAGTAAAAGATACTCAAGACTAAAAGAAGCCTCCTAGCTAAATTCAAATCATCTGTTTCGTTACTCAAGTGAAATATTTCTTTGTTAGATTGTGTAAGGTGCGTAGCAAAAGAGAAGAGTGTAAGCCTGATTGCTTGAGTTTCTTCATGTAAAACTTAGGCATCACTGATTGAATTGAATTGAATTGAATTGATGTTGAGTAATTGTTTAAGCAGTCTTCTTCTTCTGCACTTCATTGATTTGACCTGAGCCTTTTCAGTCGGCAAGTTTTCCTTCCATCATTTTTTGGGGGTTTGCCCCTCTCTCATCTTCAGTGTGGGTGATGTCAAGTCTAATTTAGACTTGAATTCTCCACCCCATGTGTCTCAATACCATTTGTTTCAATACTATTGGTTTCCAATTCCTTTAGTATACAATTTTTCTCTTTCCTAACTTGATACTTCCTATATCCAAGAGTTATCTTCAAAAATCTTGTTTCAGCAGCTTGTACACTACTTACTTTTTAGAAAAAGAAATATTCAAAGATAAAAGGTCACAGTTGAAATAAAAAGAGAGCTCTAAACCCCACTGCTTTGTAAACAGTTCATCAGAAGGATTTAGGAACACAATGCTCAACTCTATAACGTTCAGTGTATTTTAGTTAAAAAAAAATTACGTATCTATAGCTGTTAGTTCTGAGTGTTAGCTCTGATTTCTAAAACTTATTTTGTGTTGAAATGGTTTATTCTATTTGTATTAATGTTAATTGCTGATGCTCTTACTTTGTACATTTGTCATTTCGTGTATATTTTCTTCATAATTATGTTTCTATTTTCTCATTTTATATTCCAATTTTTCTGTTTTGTTCAATTCTAATTTTATTAAATTCATAATAATATTACACAATAGATACAATTTTATTTGATTTTGGATATATTATTATTTGTGTAGCACTGAATATGGCCACAATGTGACTAAGAAAGTTTTGTGACAAAATAAACACTATGACAAAACAACTCCTTATATCAATTTCTACAATGTTGCCAATGTTGTAAACACCACACTACACCATTGCCTACCATAATAATAGTCCATTAGTAATTTCTCTAATTATACAGGAACATAAAATTTATCATCTAATCAATCAGGTTTATAATTTAACTCGCGGGGCTACAGAATGGCACAGTCTTTCTCGTATTAGTTTTCTATTTCCTTTGGACTGGATTCTATTCTGACTTGCTTCCCTCAAAGTACTTATTTTTTCAATTTTTCATTTTCTGAATAGCAGAACTGAAATAGTACTTTAATAATATTAAAAAAGAGAAAATTCTCTTCCTAAATGGCAATTTTCATTTAAAAATTTGGGGCTATTTCTAGGAAAATTATGTTTAAGTGTTACTGTAAATGCGAAATTTGAAGCTCTTTTTCACAGAATTTGTTAGAGTTTCTGATAAACTTTATTTGAAATCATTTGATGCATTTACACTTACAAGTAAGAGATTAAAAAAAATACATTTGTGTATTTTTGTATAACAAAAGAATACAAAAAATAATTTTATGTCATCCTGAACAGTGCAATTACCACTATCAGTAGGAAAAGTTTGAAGAAAAATGAGCAGTTTTAGAAGAAATGGTTTTGGAAAGTTTCTGTTGATGTGGAAATTGAGTTATTTTCACAGAAAAGTTTTGAGTTTTTGAGAAACTTTATTAGACATCATTTAAAGAACATGTACTTGTAAATGCAATAATGTGAACAAATCACTGCTAATGTCAAATATTAACGATGTGAGAGAAGTCAAAAACTGATGTTTATGTGATCTCACAGAGTATGTTTAGCACTATCCTACCAAAAATTTAAAGAAATAATTTGGGGCTGTTTTTGAGAAAATCTTGTTTTTTGTTTGTTTTTAAATTACATATGGAATGCAATATTGCACAATATTGTCAAAAAAATGTGTATGACCTTAATGAAAGAATTCACTATGGAGAACAAATTTCATTTTAAGGAAAAATCTCTTCAATTTTGTTGTTGTAGGAAGACAGGCGAAAAATTCAAACTTTTGCTGGATTTAATAATGTAGAGTTTATTTTACTCCATTCATACAACAAATTTAAAGAAAAAAAAAGTTAGTCCATTTTTGGGAAAATTTTGAAAATATCCCTAGGGCTTCATGTGTTGTCCCCCTAAACATTAATGAATGTTTATGAAAATCGCAGAGCTTCGATACAGGCCAGATCGACATGGGGTTTCTTCAATTTGGAAAAAATCCTATGTACAGCCATGCACTAGTGTTGTTCACATACACCAGAACATGCAGACAAATATTTTAGAGAAAAAAAGAAGAAAAAACTCATTTTCAATATCAAGGGATCCTAAAGTGCATTTCCTTTGAAATCTCTAAATTGATTTCCCGCAGCATTACATAACTTCTTTATTGGTACTACATATATTACTCTGGATATGCATATGTATACGAAAGTAAAAATTAAATACAAACTAAGAAAGTAATAAGCAGGTTAACTTCATCATTATTCACAAAATGGTGATTCCAACACGGGTGAGGAACGGAAATGGTAGTATATGCTCTGGTGAGGTATAAGTCATTCAACAAATTATTAATCATTTTGTATGGTATGGTAACATTATTGAACTTGATTAGGCCTACCTGTACCTGGTGTGTACATCTGTATCTCTTTTTTCCAGCATGTAAAGCTGCTGCAAAAATGTTATTTACTGGAACCATGACATTGGGCTGCAAGTCGTACATTGATGCTCAGACCAAGGCATGTTATTGTCCTCCTGTTAAAAGGAAGTTTACGCCGGGAGCAGACCTGTAGAAGCTGTGATCCTCTTCAGTACAAGTGTGGCAGTATTAAACCCTGACAGCATTTGCCTACTGTAAACTGCAAATGAATCTCCTGTTAGCTGTGATTAATGTATTTCTTTACTTTATTTTGTTGGACTTCCATATTATTGTATTGTTACAATTTTTAGCTTAACATTAGAGTTGCCTACTGTTTATTTATTTTTTAAATATTGATTTTTGTGAACATTAATATGTTCCAAAAACACGGCAGCTAAAACTAAACAAGTCTGGATTGTGCCCCTGGATAAGTTGCGGAACATAAATTTGGTTAGTTTTTTAAATCCTTTCTATGCCAGTGCTAAGTGTCCCTTCTTTTCATAATAATTCTTTGGGATAGTTGCTTAGGAAAGTTTAGAACATAAACTTTGCATTTTTAATTCACTTTTTCCCTACATGAGAGATGAAAGCATTTTGTAAAAAGTTTTAGTTCTAGGTGAGGGATTGTTCAGTATATACTTTTACTGTAGGTGGTTGAGAATATGGAATGTTCCCACTGGGGATGAAACTGTGATAAATGTTGTCTGTTAGCCAGGTATTTCTGATTTATTTAGCTTGATTCATAAGTGCAGCTGCAGTAAATGGCAGTCTATTTACAAGGATGTTGGATGGAAAATAACGGTTTTTCTGAAAGTACTAATTGAGTACATTAAAATACCAATTAGATTTGGAATTTGTATTTTTTAAATGGACATTATTCAAGTATGATTATTGTTTTTAACAAATGATTGCTCTTTTTTTGGATCTTCATAAGTAAAATTAGTGAAGTAAATTTATTGTACTTATGGAAAAGCATTCAAGAGTATATGCTTGGAAAAGTTTTTGACTCCATATAAATGAATTTGTTTTTAATATAAATGAACACCTACATTTTTTAGACAATAATTCTAAATAAATGTGATATGAAGAAACAGAATATGTGTGAAGAGGAAAATAGAAATTTGTGTAGCGTTCTTTATAGCTAACAAAAACTGAATTTTGTATTAAAATATTTTTCACAAAATACAAAGTTCATCCATGACAAATTTACTTAACATTAATAAAATTATTTTTTAGTGGAAAATGTGAACTTATATTTATATTGAATCACTGTTGATTGTTTTTTTTTAATGCCTTTTCTGAACTTGATAGAAGAGTTCCATGTAATTAGGTCCCCCCCCCCCCACAAAAAAACGGGAATAAAAGAAAAGTTGTTTAAAGCCAACAATGCATCGTAGTGTGCAAAAACATTACATGTAAGACAAGCCTTGCCAAGGAGTGGTATTTAAAGCATCATGGTCAAGGAAATGACCAGAGCTTTGCTGAGACATTTTCCCATAATCCCTCTCATCTCTGCAAGTGACCAACCTCCAATGCTTGATTAGGTACTAATGGGTGTTCATGGGTGTGTTGTTAGGGAGGTCAAACCCCCCTTTCCCAAATTTCCTGAACATATTAAGAGGAAATAGTTTGTTGTGGACCAGAGGTAGCATGATATTTCCTAAGCTCCCCCCCCCCCCTCCTCTGCCGATAAAAATTATAATAAGCCCATGACTGGACCTCATATTTGCTACACAACTTGATGAGGATCCCATACAAATGTCTCAGTTTGATAATCACAACTGCAATCAGCACAGTGTAATTGCCAGGAAACAAACACAATGGACGTTCTAGTTGCCAAATCTTCCATTATCGTCAATCATTCATGAAGTAGGAATAATGAAAAGCAAAGAAGCAATGGAAATGTAATCTGGAAGGCATTGCAAATAAAGTAGAAACCTTTATTCATATTTTATCTTTGTTTCTAATTCTTTAGTTATGTTCTTAGTCTCACATCAGTATTGGACATAAAATAATTGGATGTAGATTACAATTGCAGATACCCCAATTGAGACAAAAGATAAGAGACTCCTTTCCTTGGACCTATAATCCTTGACCTACCTTCTCATTTTTTAGTCCTACTGACTGTGAATGGGGAGAAGGATTTATTGTTAAAACTACCATTGAGAGGTATGCTGAGAGTTGAAAAAAAATAACCCTAACGAATGTAACATTTTGCTGGAGAAACTTATCATATCTTCTGCTATTGTTTAAATTGTGCCCTTAAGTACAAAGAAGTCAAAATTTTAAATATAATTTTGAGTAAAGTATCTAGTAGATTTCTTATCTGCAAATATTTTGAATTCAACAATTTTGAAACTAAATATATGGATTGTTGATCTTGCCCAGTGGTTCTAGGGAAATTTCTATAATGGCTATAAATTGAAATTCTCATCTCTTTTATCCACAAGAACTTGCTTTTAGCTGGATATATACTCTCTGGCTGGTTCTGCTTCTGGTTTACAGTTGAATGTTGTCAAAGGTGTGTGAAATTTTGATTTGATCTCCTTTTGTTCCCATTTAGTGAATTAATTTCATGTTAGAGGTTTTGTTATAATTGGTATGATAAAACTACTTGGTTTAAAAATTGGTTGAAATAGGTTGTTAAAATATTAAAACATCACCTGAACTTGAGAGATGGAAGAATGAAAACAAAAAGAAACTTGTCTCCACATTATTGAATTTTTAATGTATTGTATACAATATTTCCTGAGACTTTGTTAATGAGTAAATTAGACTTGTCATGTTGCAGTATGTAAGTGAAATGTCAAATTAAAAATGTTCAAAATCATGTTTAAATACTTAAGTGTTTATTCAGTTTATTTTGGATAGCCTGTGTCAACTTTTTACTATTAACATTGATTCAAGTTGTGTGCAGGCAGCTGATACTTGGTGAGAAAATGATTTCACATTACCCTATTCATTTCATTCTTAAAAAGTAGATACAAATAAACAGCTGTATTATGGCTGTGATATTCAATTGGTGAAAGTTTAGTGTGATACTAAAAATAATTGAAGGAAATGCTAGTCATTGTGAAGTATTGTCTTGATTATATGTTTGAGTCTGTAGAATTTGAAAATCTGGTCTGTGGCTATTAAAGATTATTTTACCATTGTAAAGAGAATTGGTTTGTTACCCCACATTTGACATTCCTAATAGATAAATATCTTGATTGTAAAACTCACAGAACTTCAAGATAAAAATATACATTAAAAAAAAAATGCATATTTTCATTGAACGTGTGTGTGTGTGCGTGCGTGGGTGTGGGTGGTGTGTGTGTGAACTGATCTCATTTTAATTTCATGCAAGATAGAATGTAATTGATATGAGCCATGCCATCTCAATGACATGTATTTATGTCAGAAGTATTCTATAAAAAGAGATCAATTTAGAGCAAATCAGATCACATTTTTGAATATTATTAGATCATAGAAAAGGATAGTAGCATGATGCTGAAAAAGTGAGACAGTGTCAATGTAACAAAAACAATTGGGGTAATAGTTAATCAGATGAAAGACATTATTGAGAAGGGAAAATTATCAGATTGATGTCAGTCGTGGTGTACAGAAATGTAGAATGATATCGTTATCATTTAATTATGTTCGGACAGTGATGGCTCATGCTAAGGTTGTACTCAGCTAATAAAAAGACATCATATAATGTTAGGAATATACATTTCCTTTTAATAAATGTTTTGTTCAAGATATTACAGCAATATAGACATACATGAAATCATTTTGAAACCAAAGATCGCCCAACTAGTGCTGTATCTGCTGTGTGGTGCTCTCCCAGGTATTGCACCATGCAGGGCCGGATTTAAAAAAAGGGGGGGCCCTGGGCTGATAATATGTGAGGGACCCATAGGTAGTAAAATTTTTTATACTTACTATATGTATTTATAAATCAAATAGTTTACATACAATATTAAAATCTATGCAATGTGAACTTTTCGCACTTTTTCTTGAACAAACCAGTTATATCGTTGAAATAAATTTCGCGCTAAACGTATCCTAAACTCATTCGAATAAGGTTACGGATGCAATTTTCATCTTTACTTGTGTGCAATCGATTTCTCACCAACTTGAGTTTAGAAAATGTCACTGTTCTAATTCACGACAAACGTTTCTCTTGAATATATTTTTAAGTTTATTAAAAAAAAGTTTGGGGCTTTCGTTATTACTGCATTTATTCTTTAGCCGCACGCTTCAACATAGTGCCTTCGGTGTCGCAACTAAATGGGGGGGGGGGTCTTGTCGAGCGCGTCGTGGCGTCCTAGAGAATTCGAGGGGAATACCAAAAATGGTCGTCGTCTGTTTAGCTGCAACTTAATTTTAAGAATTTCGCGTGTTATTGAAAGTACACAAGTCCAGTCAATTATTGACGGTATGGAATGCATTCGTTATGATATGTGGAAAATTTGTTTTCATTTGATATTAGGGTTGTTGATTCAAAAAGGACGTTGGTGATTTTTTTAATGTAAAGTTGGCCGTTCTGGAAGGAAGTCCCTTTCTGTCCCTCAAGGTATGTATATCTTTGCCGCCTCACGACAGTCAGTGGCAGTCAGTCAGCGAGAGTTGTGGAGGCCTTTCATTACATGTCAGTAAAGTATTCGAAATAAAGTTTTTTTTAAAAATAAAATGTGTCCAAACTACCGCCTGTCGCTACGTGCTGGAGTGCATGTTCTTTTTTGTGTGAATTCTCTTACTGTCTATTACTTCTATTATTGTCTCAATGCATAACTAATACAAAAACTTGAATGAGCACTGGAAATCAAAGCCATTACTATTATCCGCGTACGTTTTCTTGATCCCTCGCTTCGCTAGATGAGAGAGGAGTGGGGAGTTTGATTATTTTGACCAAAGGAATTTTACGTTGAATTTGTAGTTCATTTTTCCATGCAACTTAGTTTTTAATGCACGGGAGCTAACATTCCTCGTCAGAAGATTTTGTCTACAACTCTCATTGCTATCATTTATTTTTAATGCACCTAATGTTGGGAAAGGAGTGAGGGGGAGTAGATATTCCGGGGCTCAAGAAAACGTGCGGATATATTACGTGTGTGGGAGGTGAATATACGTGACACGGACACTACGCATAAAAAGATGCAAGTAATATTTCAATACATATCTTTATTAAACTTTTAATTAATTTACATGAATTGCTTATATCTTTATACATTAATATTCTGAAGTATGAAAAGTATACTTCGGTATTTATAACGTGGGGCGTCAAGGCCTTTTTTGAGGATGGAGTATCTCACGGCATTTCGCGTCTTTCTCGGTCTGCCGCTAGATGTCGAATGATCATGACCGTACCAAACAGTGGTATTGAGTCAAATAGGCATTTTTTAAAAAAAATTCTTTTAACAATTTTTTCTTAAAAAGGACACATTTTTTAATTGAATTGGACCTTAGCGTAAAGGAATATACGCTGGGAGAATGGTGCAGGTCTCGTGTTAAAATGCCCGATTCTTGCGCAAATTAAAAAAATCGGCGTTTTCCTAAAACTACACTTTTTAGGATTCATTCATGTTAATGAAATGTGTTAATCAAAAACGTCTTCAAGTAAAGTCATGGTGAATTTTTTTAATATATGAATATTTTTTGTGAAATTTGGCGACAAACAGTCGCTTGCTCCGAATTTACTGTGATTAGTGAACGTAAGAGAGGTAACTCCTGGCAGTTGGATGCTATGTAAGTTAGAATTTGTATATCATTTCATATTTCCTTTTTTGTTTCTTACATTCGAGTTCGTTTACAAATTAATCTTTTAGAAATTATTTAAAACCTACTTTAAATTGCGTCCTTTGATTAAGCTAAATGTGAAAACGAATTGCTGATTTCACTTTTCATGGGTAATAAGGTGTGGGAATGACGAGCAATGCGTGTGAAAATCGAATAATTTTGATGAACATAAATATATTATATTTATTATTAAGTTATTTATCCATTTTCTTTCTAGCGGTATCAAGAATGCTAATTTGCAAAATGTGTATCCCATACGAATTAGCTGTCATTGTTGCTTACTGCAACGCATTGTTTTAATACCGCACTGATAACAACGCAATAATGACTGCCGCCTTTAGTTCGCGTTGCTTTTTGTGCCTCCACGCCTAGCTCCGATTACTCTCGGGACGACCTGTGCTTTTACGCCCCACATTCGGTTGATTTCGATTTCCACAATCTTGTATGTCTGTTTGTGTAGGCGGTCCGATTTTGGAATCCGCCGGGGGCCTCAGATGTTCTAGGAACGACCCTGATCTAAATAAACTGGAAGAAAGCAAATATCATTGTAAATAACAAATGTGATAATAAAAGAAAATCTCAGCAACAGCATAATACAGCCAAAACGTACTAATTATCTATATCCAATCAGGAATTGCTTAGGCGCGCACCAAAGGTTACGACCCAACTTTCCCGCCAAACGTGGTGACGTCATTCTGGACTCTGTGGAATTTTTACTTCGAAAATCTCTGGTACAGATATATACTCTCTGGGCTGATAGAGTGGATAGAGTTGCCCGCGAATATTCGCTTCCCGCGAAAATTTCTGTCACTGGTGAGCGGTGGGTGAGGGACCTAGTGAATGTGTTGGGCAGTGGTAGCTGTCATAAACAATCAGTGAGTGTGTTACGTGGTCGTTAGTCGCTGCTCGTTGCTGTCCAGTGTGAGCGAAATATATTCATTGTGCGAAATGAATCGCAAACAATGGTCTCTCGGCCAGGGCCGTCGATCTTCGGCGCCCAAGCGGTTTTCTGCTGCGTTATCGGAAACAGAAGATAAAAATAAAAATGTTTGGTAGGTACCAGTTTTCTCTCTAGTATTTTTGGTCTTCATTGTCTGTTGCTGAAAATCCAGTCGCGGAGGGTTAGATGTGAAAGACAATTTAAATGTTTACCAGCATATTGCATATTTTTATTGGAAATATTTGCCGAGTATAATTTATTTTCTATGCTATGTGAAGATGTGTGATACAAATTTTTAACATAAAATCATGAAGTATATTTGTTGTATATTATAAGATTTATGATGTTTTTTAATGTCCTTTAATTTTTTCTTAATTAAGAATTGCTTTAAGAAGAGAAAGCGTGTATGTGTGATTAAACAATAGTTTTGTTTAACCAGTGATGGAAAGAAGTCTTTTATTCCAAGACCTACTTGTGTGTCATCACGCTCTTCATCAGTGGAGAGAGAAGGTCTTCAAAGTTCTTCAAGGTGTACCCAAAAATTTGTGAGAAGTACCTCTGTGGAATCTGTTGATGACATTGCAAGATCTGGAGGCCGCTCAAGATTCACTGAATCTGCATTTACTCCTAAGTAAGATGTGAAATTGGATTTGATATTGTAAATACTAAAATCAGAATCACATTCAACAATTAATGGAATTTTTATGGTTTATGACCTAAATTGTTCATTCTGATTTATTTATTTTGACTTATTTTGTCAGAGGATGTGACTGGATATCTTGAATACAATTTCAGGCATTTAATGAAGACCCATGGAGGCAGAAGTACAGTTAGTGTTCAAAGAACTGTGAGGAAAGATACACGGCCTTTATCGGATAGAGCTTTCCAGTTAGCAGAACTAGCAAAGGTACAAATATCAAAACACACATGTCCAATTTTTTATTTCTTTTTATCACACATAATATTCTGTAAGCTCTGCAGGTTAGAGATATCTAAACCAGTGGTGGTTGGGGCAAGGGGGCTGACACCTCAGGAGACTCAAATGTAGGATAATTGAAAATTTAAGTTTAAGTCCAATTCTTGCTCGTTCATTTCACTGCTTATTTCTTTGCTGGTGAAACTGCCCACACTTTGCTTTTTATATGTATGTACTAAGTTGCACATATTGCTCATCCCCACCGGAAGGTTCCCATCATAATTCCCTAAACACCCCTCGTCCCCTCCACCGTGGACTTTCCCCACGCAGGAGCGATGAGAAGTGCTGGTTTAAATTACTTTCTTCAGTTGTACCGTATACTAGACTTCAATCGTTACTTACACTTGTAACATTTCACATTTTGGGAAATTTTCAGATGGTAGAACATTTTTCATAACATAACTATGAGACAACAATTATTGAACTCTTAAAACGCTGGCTTTCTGTTGTTGTTTTTCTCTGTCTTGCTCTCTTGTTCAAATTTGTTCTCATTCAAAATTTTGTTTCAGTGGCACTGATCATAATAAATGAAACTTGGGTCCATGCATATTTTTTTTCAAGACAACCTATAATGTACATTTTTTATGTTTCAACTAGTGGGGTCACAATAGCACATACTATCACATTATTTGTATTATTTGAAAGTTCAGAGTGCAAGAAAAAGTCTGTCCTGCAATATTTTTGTAAGCTTGCTTCACACTACCTGAGAAAAAAATAAATTAAAGAAAAAAATTAATCCTTTGAGTAAATCTTGCCTTTATTTCACAAAAAATTTCATGCAACCAGCCCATATTTTGGAATAATTGTCCATAACCTTATTTAAATATCTATTTTGATGAACAGATTTCATTAAGAAATAAATCTTTTTGTTTTCTTGTGCACTTCCTGAAATTTTAGAAATTTCAATGAAAATCAGACCTATTCCATTTGATAAGTACATGGCTCAAAATTTTTTGTCAGATAGAGAAATTTGTTTTAGAAAAAATTTTAAATGTCCCAGAGTCTGAAAGTAGTCTGAAAAATCAATAGATCTGTTCAAATACAATAGGCTGCAACATCACCCAGATCAATCAGGGAATATCAGTTTTGGTGAAAATCCTGCCTATGGTTTTTGCAACAATGCTTGCATTGTTCAGACAGAGGTTTCGCTTGAAACCAATTTGTCACCATCAAAGACATGTTCTGACTGCACATGTTAGAGAAAGTTATTTACTAAATATAAGAACAATAATTATCCACTTTTTTGGTGTCGGGAACCCACACAACAAATATTTCTATTGATGAAACACCTGTTGTTTGCTCTAGAATTACAGTGCTTTCTCAATACTATGTAAGTGAGAAGGTAAAAAGTGGGTAGGGCCGATTCTAGTTGTGCCACTGTGCCGGATATTTTGAAGGAAAATGATAAATTGGGGCCTCAGCTCACGTTCTTTTGTTTTATCTATTGTAAAGTTATTTAATATTTTCACTTTTTAAATTAAAAGCTGCAATTAAGTTTAAATTAATTCTTTGAACAAGCAAGCATCTTTTGTGATACTTTTCTGCACAAGTCTCCAACCAAATATTCACTGTAAATTATTCTGTTCCAGTCCCAATCTTCTTTTACACATTTGCCTAATTTTGGCTACTTTTCTTTCTGTATTTACATACAATTATTTTGTGTTAATAGAAATGCATTTGTAAAGCATATTTTCTTGTCTAGCAGCTCATGTTTTAAAAGTCAAACAATTTAATTTTTAGGTTGAAGAATACCTTGTGGCAAAAAAAATAATAAATCCTGGGCCAAGTTTAAGTAATTCCATGACATTGAAGTTGTTTGTTCATATAATGAATTCCCTTCTTAATGAGTACTTTCCAAAACAGCAGCTCACATTATCAAACTACAGTGAATTAATTCCTTTATTAATGAGGAAATTGAAGTACCCTGGAAATGTCACTCGATCTTGGCTTGTAACAGGTATGTCTTAAAAATAATTATTAAATCAACTTTCTTGTTCTATTGGTGGTTTAAATCAAACATCAACACGAAAAATCATAATCTATCATCCATCAATCCAGTTGAAGGAAATGGAAACCTGGATCTCAGGTGCACCTACAAGGCAGTGGTTGTCAGTTTTGCAATAACAACAGTTATGATTCATTGTACTGTCCCTGTTCTCTATTTTATTTTAAATAGTATTAAGATTTCAAATATGAAAAGATTAATAGAGCCTCTAAATTAAGGCATTTATTTTGATTAAAATATGCATACAAAAAACACATTTGTTCTGGCTTAAGTTGAGGTGCCAAATGGCATGTAAAATGAACTAGTGGTGCTACAACAGTGCATGTTTTCTCATTATTTGTAACGGTTCTGCAATATTATATCCCTACATCACATGATTGTTTTGAACTCAAACTTTTTCTGTGCAGAACATCATTTTATTGATTATATCATGACATGGCCTTGTGGCTCCGAATGTTACACCACTGAATAGATTCATGAAAGTGTATTTTTTTTTTTTTAAGCAACATGACTCGCAGAAATTCTTCCTTTTCATTGTGAGAGAGAGAATAGTTCTGAGTGCTTTGGCCTTTGACACTGGTATGAAAGCATGTAATATCCTTGTGCCACATATTGGTTCTTACTCAGTGCCTTGGTCTTTGACGGTAGTATGAATGTGTGTAATATTCATGGGCAACATATTGGTTTCATTTTTTACTTTCTCACTAGCCCTTACACAGTAGAGAGAAAGTTATGTAATGCTGCATGAAAAAAAATGAATTTTCAGCAGAAAACTCTCATTTCATATTGGGATGACTAAGTCACATTCATTCTTGTGGTTATCATTTGTCAAAAACTTAAAATGAATACCTTTAAAACATTCTGTCCTTTATATTTCTTTTTGGATCATTATGTCTTTATTGGAGTTTCCCTTCATTCAGTTTGCCTAAGACTGGCACAGTGAAATCTGAATTGCTGGTTCCACTAGATTTATGTATCCGAGTCGAACTTCAAGTTACTCATGATAAGTCTAACACAAATCACATAAAACTTGTGGTAAACATGGTTTACACTTGCTGCACATAGACACTGCGCACTATAACAAATTAAACTGTGTGTAGTATGACTCTTGTTCTGTTGCAGCTGTACTTGGATCTGTACCAAATCTCGTGAAAAGTTCAGCAAATACTGTCAAAAATCTCGACAAGGGGGCTCATCTAGATTTCCAAGAAGGGTCTCTTTTATTTATGCCTGGGAGCAGAAATGTTGAGGCTTCATATAAAGTACCCCCAAAGGAAAAATATATGTTTGAAACTAGTGCCTAGAATTCATTTAAATCAATCACGGATTAGCAATTTTGTAGAAAATAGGGTGAGCAGTTTAGGCGTTAGTGTTGAACATGGTTGTACGTTTTACCCTCAGTAGTGTTTGAAGTATTGGGGATCCACAAGACATGCATTCAGTGTGTTTGAGGAAGTAATTTGTTACATATAGGCCCAAGATTAATCCAATTTTGCATCACCAGGGTGCATCAATAACTTTTTCTATTGAAAATTCAGAGTTTTCCGGTGCACGATTTCAATACTTTCTTTCCTTACAAAGTAAAGTGGTGTAAATAACTTTATATAACATGTGATCAAATTCCAGCTATGTTATTGAGAAAATATCAAAAGTCTTTAACTGTTGTGTTACTGTTTTCATTTCAGTTAATTATAAGGGCTGGAACTCATCCAAGGCTTTGGAAAATCACTAAAACTTGTTCCGTGTTCAAAACAGGTGTCGTAAATGTAATTACTAACGTAAGGCCCATTTAATTATTATCAAATTTTTCAAAGCTATTGAAAGTTTAAATTTAACAGGTGGTGTATATAATGAATTTAAACAGAAAATTAAATCACATCAACATGGATTCATAAAAGGACTGATTTTTCCAAAGCGTTTGATTAACTTTATCTTAACATTATTTTGTGAAATTTTCTGGACTTAACTTTTTATTTTATTTTATTAAAAAAAAAGTTTGCTACCTTATGCTGATGACATGAAGTTATAACTTCATGTAAATAATTCCCATGATTGTCAATTCTACAGAATAATAATATTTTGTATCAAAATTGTGTATCACATAAATTAAGTTTAATTCTGAATATGCATAAAACTGTCATATTTTGAATCAAACAGAATTTAATTTAACTATCATATTAGTGGAGTACAACTTAAATGTGTAACAATTAAGAAGGATCTAGGTGTTCTTTTTGATAATTATTTAAGATTTAATGCTTGTGTTGAGGATTGTATATGGTCTGCTGTAAAACATTGGGTTTTGTGATGAGATCAAGGAAACTATTCCTTCAATACCAATTACTCAGATCACTATTCTGCGCTCCTGTACGATCTAAACTTGAATATGTCTTGGTTGTATTGCCTCTTAATTAAAAGGAATATGTGTTAATATTGTAAAGTGTCAGAGAAAGTGTTTGTCACAAATATCTTCAAGTTTCTTGATTGTGTTGTATATCCTACTAAAGGAACTCGTGAACAATTCCTGCTCTGAAAATTTGACTTATACACATGAGGCAATTATCCTCCATCATGTTTTTGTAAAAAATTATTAGACAGTTGCCCATTAAATCTGAACAGGTATCATTCGTAGTTCCTCACTATTCATTGCATTTTTACTATCCATGACATTATTAAGATGCTAATAATCGTTTTGTTTATAACTGTTAGATTATTCAAAATAATTGTGGATGTAATTAATCTATGTGCTTCATTGAGATAAGATATTGATTGTTTTTGCTAACTCAATTCCTGTTTATAATACAGCATTTTCTATGTTTCTGCCACTAATAGCATGCAACTCATATTGTATATGTCTGGTAGCATGTCACCAATACTTATGATGTATATGTTCTATAATGGGTTTATCACACAGGATGAAAGAATTTTCATTGCTCACAATAATTAAAAATAAATTTTTCATGTTAATCTTTTTTTTTTTTCTGACCAGCCAACTCTTCACACTCGTGGCATAATGTCCTTGGTTTGCTGTCATGGCTAGTTAACTTATCGACTCTTACATCATCAGATCTGAAATATCTTGCTGAGGATGATGGAGAAATTGAAAGTGTGCTAGATTGTGAGAAAGCAAAAGTGAGTCAAATAGTGATTTATTAAGTAATTTTCAAAAATAGCTTTTTGAACATTTTTGTTCAATATTTAGTTTGGTGTAATATGAAACATATTTTTTTCTATTTTAGAAATTATTTGAGTTCACATCGCGGAAGTATGCTGAATGGAGTGAAAATTATCATATGCCACTAAGGACTGAAGATGATGATCAATTTTTTGATGACCTTGGTATGTATATATTACAGTTTCTTTTATTATTTTTTTTCTGATTTAAAAGAAACAAATTTAATTAGATTTTTATAAACAAATTCAATGCTTTTAGATTTTGAACGTTATGGTCTAGGTCTTAGGAAAATGGTCCAGGAATTATTGTAGACAATCAATTCATTTTTGGATTTTTAGTATAAATCTGTTGCAGCCAACATTTTTAGACGCTCTTTAGTCTCATTCTCAAGGCTCAAATAAATAGAAAAATGTAAACATATCAAGTTAAAAATATAAAAACCAGAATAAAATGTTACATTAAACATATAAAAGATAAGTGAATAATAAAATAATTAAAATAATATTACACATGGCAGGAATACAATATGCAAATGAAATTGCACCAAGGGAAGATGAATAGTTAACTCAAATCTGTTTGTAGTATAAAAGTATGTAATACATACATATTGCAATATATATTGGTCCAATATAACATACGAGAATAAATACCACACATAAAGATCCAGAAGTTCCCTGCATAAACTTTCTCATTAAATGGTCAGTGTTTTATTCTTTGTACCCTTCTCACACACACACACATGAATGCATCACACACGCACCGGAACGCACACAGGCACACACACCCGAATGCATGCACTCACACACCCGAATGCATGCTCTCACACACCCGAACGCATGCACACACACACACCCGAACGCGTGCACACACACACACACAAACACACACACACACACACACACACACACACACACAAACTATTTTCACCATATATTATGTGAAATATGTGCAATATTAAAAAATATTAAAAATTTCTGAAAATGACTCCAAATGTTTTCTTTAAGGTATTGTAGGGTTAGAACTTATAAGATGACATAACGCTTGTTCTGTTGTTTTGTTTATACAATTGTAATTTTTTGAACATCCCTCATATTGTTAATATTTACATTACTGGCGATTTGTATACATTATTGCATTTATGGGTTCATGTGCTTCAGTTGATGTACAAGTTTCTCAATAATTCAATGCTCGTATGCTATTTTCTCAAAAACTGATCAAAATGTTTTTTTTAAGTTTTTGTATGAGTAGTGGTAAATGCACTGTAAAAGATGACATAAAAGCCATGTTGCTGTATTCTTTTGCTTTTTTGAACATGCACATATACAGTGATTTGTATATATAATTTCATTTGCTTCAAATGGCTCCCAGTAAAGTTTCTCGGATACCCATAAGTTTTCTGTGAAAGAAGAGCTTTAAATTTTACCTTTTCAGTTATGCTTACAAAACTTATAAAAATTAAACTTATACAAATCCTTATAAACAGCTTCACAATTTTCAACAAAAAATGTCCGTATACTCTTCTATAATAGTCTTAAAATGTAATTTAGGTTCTACCATTAAGAAACCGAAAAATTGAGAAAATTTCAATAAATTGTACTTTATGCTGCAATCAATAGCAGCTGGACAGTACGAAAACCTAGCCCAAAAGAAGTGAGAAAACTAAGTAGTACAAGAAAGTCAGTGCCATTCTGTAGCACCACTAGTTACTTTCTCATACACATATGTATATATTGAGTAATATATGTAGTTTTAGAAAATTGTATAATGTCACAGAAAATTGATTTTGTTTTTTTTTTCTTTTCAATACTTCTATCCATCTGTCTGTTTAAGCGGTGAACAACACTAGCGCCTAAAATATTCTTAGGACTTTTGCCAAAAAGGATATTCCAAGGTTGATCTACCTAGACTTCAAACGCTGTTGAAAATTATTCTTTAAATTTTGAGGGTATATTACATGAAGTGAATTAAACATTTTCTAAATTATCTCAATAATTTTGTTATTTCGAAAACTTAGTTAAGTATCAATGAAAAACAGACCTATGCCAACTCTATTCTTTAAAATAATTTAAAGAAAAAAAAAATCTTTAAATTATTTTAAAGAATAGAGTTGGCATAGGTCTGTTCTTCATTGATACTTAACTCTCAAGTTTCAAAAATAACAAAATTTAGAAATTTTCAGTGTGTACACAAGTACACAATTGAAGATAAAGATTTTTCCATCCGATGAAATTTGTTCTCCCTAATTAGTCCATAAAATGTATTCAATAACATAAAAAAATCAAGAATTTCTCAAAAACTGCTTTAAATTTTTTCTTGTAACTTTTGGTGTGTATAATGCTATACATACACTATAAGATGACAAAAACACATTTTGCTGTATTCCTGTGATTGTTTTTAATTATAGAAATGTAATGTTTTGACACCTCTCACCTTTTGTTTTTTGCATTACTGATAATTTGTAAACAATATTACATTTATGAGTACATGTGCTTCAAATGATGATTTGTAAAGTTTCTCAAAAAGTCAAAAGTTTTCGAGAAAATGAGCTTCAAATTTTACTTTGAAAAAATACTTAAATGACATTTTCTCAAAAATGGTTCAAAGTGTTTGAACAAAAATGTCTGTACATGTTGAGGTTTTATTCTTCTATAATATTCTTAAAGTTGTATTTCGGTTTTACTCCTAGGGAAACAAAAGATTGAGAAAATGGGAAAAAAAGATGGGCAATGATATAAATGGCAGCGGTGAAGAGGGTGAGGCAAAACCATAAATCTATACAGGCCTGAAGGAATCAAAAAAACTAACTAGAACAAGAAAGTGTGTGCCGTTGTGTTGTACCACTAATTAATATTTGATTTTTCTCTCTGACATGACCCTCCTATGTTAGCCAATATATATTACATTAGATTACATGCTTTTATACTTCAAACTTAGATAAAGCAAGTGTTTACTTGCACTTGATGCGATTTCAAGTGTACGTTTTTTAAACGTAAAACTAAAAAACCTGACGTTTTTTTAACGTTAATTTTTTTTTTGTTGGGGAGAAGTCAAGGAAATTTTTTAATAGTTTTGTAATTTAATAAAATCTTTATTTTTTATGAAATCGTAATTTCTTGTTAGTTGCAGCCACAGTGAATCCATTAAAGAAAAATGTAGAAGAAGCTAAGAAGGAAGTACAGGAGCTTGAAAATATGTTAAAAGCAACTGAAAATACTGAAGAATACGTCACAGAACAAAAGTACAAGGTACCCTAGCTTTTGGAATTGCAGAGGTGCACCTATTATGACTTAGTATCATAATGCCAGTGTATTTAGGCAGTATATTTGAAAATGCTTGTGATTTCCAGGTGGTAAAGACAAATTTGGAAAAGAAGAAGTCTGAAAGAAAGACTCTTAAGGAGAGTCTTGAAAATTTAAAGCTTGGTTTAGAAAAAATGAAAAATGAAATGCAAGTCTTGTTGAGTCAAAATGGTAAACTGAAACAGTGCATTGCGGATTATGACTGTTCCAGTTCATTGAATGCAGAGGATGTTGCTAAGTTAGAGTCTGAGACAGTGGCACTAAGAAACGTTATCAAAGTGCGTGAAAGTCAGCTTACTGACATAAATACTCAGTGTTATTCATTGGACCTGGCAACTGCTCGTTCACAAGGAAAGGTAAAGTATGGGTTGTCTGCAGAAACATGGCGCATTGCAAAGCTGAGAGTTACCTTGGTTACATTTTGAGAGAGTTTGCAGTGGATTCTAGTTTGTTTGAAATGTGATAATTGGAAGCAGTTTGCTTTTTTTTTGAAATTCTCTTTGGTACGTTTTATTTCAAATTTTTTAGGTTAGTGTTGAATAATTGCATTGTAAATTTTTATAAATTTAAAATAAAATAACAAATCTCATTTTTAAAAATATTTGTTAGAGGTTTCTTAACACTTAAAATCTATTTCATGGCAAAATATTGAATCTGAGGTAGAAAGCTTTTTGTGTATAATGCATATTTTGCATCTTTTAGTAGTTCTGGACATAAAAAGCTTTTCTTTGCTTCTTTTCTTAAAAGGTCACGTTAATTGCAAAAAGCAAAATTGCAAAAATGAAATGCAAAAAGTTTCTTGATGATTCAAGCAAGTGTCTTCTAAAACATTTACCTCACTTAATGGTAAAACTAATAACAAATTTGTTGACTTAATGAGTCAATATAGAATTGGTAAGTGATTAAATGGGAACATGATTGAATACCTGCCTTTGAGAATGTATTTAGGACTAATGTTTTCAGATACAAATATGCACCCATCGCATCATGGGCTATGGAAAGATCTTTCTTGAAATGCAAGACAGTATTGATTGATAGAAGATTCTTCAGACAATAAATCTAACCAAAATTGTTATGATGTTAGATACTCTATCATAAAATGCAAAGTAAAAAGGGCAGAAGAAGAGACTTAATTGCACATACCCTTGTTCTCGAGGTGGCACTCAGATTTGAATGTCAGAAAAATTCATATTTTTGTGACCAAATGTTGCATATTTCAACATATTTGTAATTCAATAGAGGTAGAGGATATTTTCATTACATCACTGCCTGCAGATGAGCATGGTGATGAGAATACTGAAGGTCTGGTTAATTTGAGTGGCAATAAATTGGTTCGTGTTGAGGCAGTTTTGTCTTAAGGAATGATTGAGATTTGGATGGACAAAAGTGTGGTTGCAGTTGCAGCAGAAGTTGCAGCAGTCGTTGCATCAATTTGGAGGATCATCAGTCAAGCATGAAAAAGAGATATCAAAAGAGAAAAAAACAAATGTCCCTCAGCCAGCAATTATTAGCTCATACAATAGAGATATGGGTAGTAACAATCGAATAGATCAAAATAAAATCCAGTATTGTATATCTATCAGAGGTAAGAAATGGCACTAGACAATATTGATGAGGTTCATAGATGCAGCAATAAACAATGCTTAGCTGATTTAAAAGAACACAAAGGAAAATCACGTAAAGAATTTAGAAGAGATTTTGCCATCACATACCTTACAAGATAGCTGTCAGCTGACAGCAAGACAGCTGTCAAATCTATGGGTGCAACAGCTTTGCTGTCTGAGAGGTCAATGTGAGTTTTGGGCAACATTCATTGTGATTGAGCTGATCATCTACATGGGAAAGTAAAAAAATGAAGAGAAGGTGTGCAAATGATGAATGCAAAAGTATTGTTGTGTCAGTGTGCATGAAATGCGATGTTGGTTTTTGCTGGAAATGCAATATACGGTTTTGTACAAAAAATTGATACTAATTTTCTGTTTGACATCATAAAACTTTTTAAAAGAATTTAATGGTGAGGTGTAATTTGTTTGCTACTAATGTAGTCATTGCACCGAATAAGTGCTTATGTTTGGCAAATAAAAGTTTGCCTAGTTGAATATTTCTTCTCTTTCATCACAGTACAATGCAGATAGATCAAAAGAAGTAAAGAAATCCAATTTTTTTGATGAAAAATAATTATCATCTTTGAAGGTTAATGCAATTTATAAAATACTAGAACTTATATTTTAAAATGGATTGAAAAGGATTGGTGTTAGCACAATGTTAGCACAGATTGTGTTATAAACAATGTAATGGTGTAATGGTAATGAAAATTATTAATTTAATTAGAAATGATTCTCTACAAACAACAATTATTGCTAATCTTATCTTCATCAAATTGCTTGAAACACAGCACAGTGTGACTATTCATTAATATCTTTGAAGTCCAACATTATAAGGATTATACATACATTCTTTTGCAGTTGGTACAGCCAATAATGTGCTTAGCAGTGCTGAATTCGAGCACCTAAATGATGTTAAACAGAATTACTTTTGATGGTAACAATACTTGAAAGTTTCTTTAGTAACATGGATTTGCTGCTCTTTGTGTTGTAGAAATAATGTTTAGAGAACTTTTCAGTTTACAATGGTGTAGGAATATCTCTTGTGGAGGCCTGCATAAAGGCTGAAGTAAAATAACAAAATATTGTTTCTGAAATTTCATGATCACAAATCTTTAAATATTGTGATGATATTGTTAAAATAGTGTTCCAGAGTTTTGCCGGGAACTTGCATCTATAATACACTTTTTACAATAGTTGAATAAATATTTATTTTTTGTATTTTGTAGTTGGATGAAGTAAGGCTGAAACGTGAGGCTATCTTACGACAATGTACTTCTCAATACATAAATGTGGAAGAATTTCAACTTCATTTGAATTATGGAAATAAAGATAATCCTAAAATTTTGAATGAATACCTTGCTAATGTAAAGAAGACTAAGCTCCATCTTGATAACATTTTAAAAGAATACATTGAAAAAGAGAATTCCTGCAAACTGCAAAGAAATGAGGTAAGTTATAATTATCACACAAATTTTTAAACAAGTAGAAAATAGTAAGTTTTGAAACAAGGTCACTGAACAGTGTATTCAGGAAACAAACATTTTTTTCCAAGCTGGCAATTTGTGAATTCGTAAAATTATCTCTTGTTCTTTTTTACAAGTAACTAAAATGTCCTCTTTCTCTTTCTGTAAGACTGAAGAAAAGATAAAATCACATGAGTGTGATGTACACAAAAAACAAATGGAATTACAACAACTTGATCTGAAGCTTGCTGAATTAAAAAATAAATCTTCTGATCTCCACCGTCAGATAAGAAATTTGAAGGAAGAATATTGTAAAGTGAAAGAAAAACTTATCTCGTCAAAACACCGTGAAGAATCTCTGTCCAGTAATCTTTCAGATTTACAAGAGGAGTTAAGAGTTCTTGAGGAAACAGCTGTAGAGCAAGAATCAATGTATACGCAAGTATTGGAACGTATGTGCGAGGCATTACGCAATCATGTTAAAAGATGCCAAGAACTTGTTATGTCTGTGTTGTCTTAATAGTAAGTTATTATGTGAATGTGTTTTATTTAGACTCCTATTTACGTTTTAAATAAAGGATTATAGCGAAATTTCCAAGTTCTTGTTAATGGTGTCCTTAGATTTCATGTTATGCTGGAAAGCCAATATAGTAATTCACAGTAGGTATTATGAATTTTTCAAGAAACGAAAATTGTCTGTAGTTACTCCACAAAGTTCCAAACCAACCCCTGCCAGCTGATTTAAATTGATGGGAGGAATTGAATGAGCTATTGGCAACAAGAATGTTCTTGAAAGCTACCAAAAATACTTGAGGTGTTAACCTCATTCCATTCTCCCCCACCTCCCAATTTTCCTTCTTTTTTTTTTATAAATTCTCATAAAATGTTATGGAAATATGTTGGGAGAAAATGGCCATTTCCCAAGAGTGACACCATGTTTAGTCCAATAGAGGTCCAAATATAAGAAACTTGAATCCCCACCAGCCAATTACTGAATTATTAGATTGCTCATGAAACTGCAAAATGACGTAACCTATGTAATTTATGAAATTGATATTTTGACATCAATAAATTCATTGTCTAAGAACACACCATACAAAATAACAAATTCAAAAAATAATACTTTTTTGCTTGATGGAAATAAAAACAAAATGTTGTGTAACAATAATTTGTAATACTCAGGGAAAATGTTGCATGCCACCTAATTTAAAAACAGTTTAAAATATCAAATTGTATTTATTATAATGATAAAGTCTGAAACACGACAGAAATTAAGTTTGAATCGAAAGTCTAACTTAAATTAAAAGCTAATCCAAATATAACTTCTCGCTCCGGCGAACGCAGTATACAGAAAGTTATGTAATGCGTGAAGAAACGGTGAATTTCCCGGCAGAAAAATTTTACAGGTCCCTGCTAACATAAAAGTGGACAAATCCAGTTGCTAGATTTAGGAGAAAAAAGTCCTCTTAACACGTAGTGTAAGCAGAATACATGTTTTGTGGGTCAGATACCGAAAAATCGAATGCCGACAAAATGCCTGTCCATCTGTGAATAATAGATTAAATTTTGTTGGATATTGTGAAGGATTTTTAAAAGAACGGCGCAAGTCTCATTATCATTAAAAACTGATTTTTCGAAAATTGCAAAAATTCAAAATTTTTTCGGCATCTACAACTAGTTATTAAGATCCGCCCCGAATAAAATCTGTTCTTTAAAGACTGATTTTGAAATATTGTACAATTTTCGAAAATGTGAGTACTTTTTGCGTAAGTTTGCGTGAAAGTTTGGGCCAGAGTGTACATGCTATTTTAGCACTAGTTTAGCTCTCCTGTAAAATATAGTTCTTGTTGGTTACAACGTTTTGCAGTTTCATGAGCGATATACAGGATGATATGCAAATGAATGGGCATACCAATCTTCTGATACTGTAATACACCTTATTACTTTATTTTTGTGTGTGTATTGGGTATTATTAGTTTTGCACCGGACGTGGAAAGTGGAGGCGAACCGCCATATTTTCGTGAGTAGGTTATGACTTGGGAGTGCTTCGTCTGTGAAGTGTGTGAAAACGTCTTGGACATTAGTTGGTTTGGGTAGGTGCAGTATTATAGCTGCCCGGGCGGAGGAAAATTTCACCGCATCCTCATTTTGGTATTTCAATTTAAAAGACTAAAATATTCAAGCTTGAACAACATAGTCAAACATACAATTACATAAATAAATTATTTAATTCATAGTTGAAGGTATATGTACACAAACAATTTTCAACAAAGGTAAATAATTTAATAATCACTACACATACTTATGAGCACAAAAATCAGTCTGAAAAGTGGGTACATTTATACGATGTAGTTAATGTGACCGACGATCCGTCAAAGAAACTCTTTGAATCGTCAAAGTGTCACTCACGGACTTTCCTGAAGGAGCCTATCTGTGTTGTAATCTAATTTGCAGGCGTTGTTACACAATACTGAACACTATTCTGTAAACGATAAAAGTAATTCTCACTGAATATTAGCTGTAAACAATCCAAGCACAAAATCAATACGATAAATCCCTAGAAGTCTGAACAGTTGGTGTTACCAGTCGCTACTATGAGCAAGATTATTACATATTCATTTAAAGAAGTCACAGAATAAGTAATGAAGGATTCCGTGCAAATTTCAATCGGTCTGAAACATAAACCTGACAAAAATATGAAATGATATGGTTCACATTTTTACAAGATATTCCAATTATTATTTACTGTGAAATCCTCCTCCCCCCCCCCCAAATGCCCACCGCCATGGGTCGCTCTTCAGGCTTGTGGCGAAGTCACTTGCCTTTGAGGTTCCGGGTTCGATTCCCGTAGAACCACATGTGAAATTTGTTACGACAAAACGACTTTGCACGCTTTACAGGGGCTAGTCCAACCCCCTGTGAAGTGTCCTAAACCCTGCCCCAATCCTATTTCCTTCCCAATTGTGGCCGCTGGGCAGTGACGCCGGGGTGCGTACGCGGGGGTTGCTACTTGGCGGTCCTTCTGACAACTGACGACGAGACGTGACGGATATGACTTATTGAAATATTAATGAAGGATTACTCCCGCGCTGACATTATTGCAGGATTATTTTTACAGCGCTCAATGCCCCCCCCCCCGGGGCTTGGAAACGCGTTGCGTCAATTGAAGACGCAACAAATAAAAAGAAAAAAAAGCTTTCACTGACCGATGCGGGAGATCCGCAGCAGGTGCGGCGCGAAAAGTTCCGCGCTAGGCGAATCGGCGGAATCCGCGGGACCCTTCACACCGGAGCGTCAATTATGACTCTGCGTTTGGTGACAGTTTTCCGTATCCGGTAAACTGAGGTGACCAACCGTCCTTTTTAGGGAGGACAATCCTTCTTCGAAAAGTGCCCTCCTTTTCGATATTTTAAAGGTTTAATCTGTTTATCTATGCGCCAAACTGTTAAGGCCCATTCACAATGTAAACAAATGTAAGCATGGCGTTAACATAAAAGTTAGGACCACTCCTATAAGCGGCCTCATTCACAATGCGTTCGCATAAGCATAACACATAAGACGTTAACTTAAAAGCTGCAAGTTTCAATGCTTATGCTTAAGTAAGACATGAACCAATCAGAGAACAGTAACTCAAAATCGAGTAACGCCATATGGGCACAGTCGATACCTTGAAATCGATTCTCACATCCAACCAATAGTAAACCAGAATGTCTCACAGCCAATACAAACTCTTATTTTGCTTACGTTTGTGTTTGACATTGTGAATACTCGAGTCTATCACTTAGTTTAATGTTTACGTCTATGCGTTATGTTAACGTTTGCATTGTGAATGGGCCTTTATGCGTCTTGTTACGGTTCAGAAAGACGCGATTAGTGTTGCCAGATCGGTGGAATTCTTGCCGTTTTCAGTAGTTTCAGCTTCAGTATTTCCGAGTTTTTGTCAAGTGAGAAATCTCGTATACACAATTAAACGAGTCGATTTATGGCAAGTTGAATACTTTCCGCAACTTTTCCTGAGATTGGTTTCTCTGGGAAGGGCGCCGCCCTAGAGCCCTTAAGGCCCAGCCGCCCTTTGTAATGCAATATCCTGTTGTGTGTTTGTGATGTATCACACAAATATCTAATACATAAATAAAATGATGGCAGGTAACGTGCATGTCGTTTGTTGTTTCGGAGTAACAATCAAGTTCACCATATTCCCCATTGATGTGTGAGACAAATTAATGTATTAGGCGGTCTTGCCTGCATCTAGTTCTCGGTCATTATTATTGAGTTGTGTGACAATAGTGAGATTGATTGATATCCATTCACTTTTCGATTTTTTGGGATGGTTTTTCTCTCTCCTGCAAAATTTATTTCGTGATCTCGCCATGTTTTTGCACCGAGCTTTCCATTGTCCAGGGGGTGGGGGAGCACGGCGGCTCTTTAGGTGCCGGCTGACCGGAGGGCGTCTAGGCGATACCGAAAAGCGTCAGGCTGAGAACAATGGCTCACCTGATGTCACTCAGTCCGTCGTGACTCGTGGACGGCAGTACCCTGTCAGTTGTGATCGTCCACATAGACTTCACACCAGAGCCAGTCTCCAATTCCGCGCCCCTCCATCAGATTTCTAATCCGGCTGCTCTGATCGTAGTTTTTCCGCGGTTTTTCCGATCAACACCAGTCGGAAGCAGTATCCTAACAACCGGGCTGCGGACCGCGCGCGATCTTTCCTTTCTCTTCCTTGTCCAATTCTCACTCCTCACTTACACATACTTAGGTTTACGTTCACTACACCACCTCACACGCCGGGAGACGAGTCGGGAGTTTAGAGTTTGTCCCGTCTGGGGCGGTAGCCCGCTGATGGGAGATACCTTGATGGTGAAAACTCCGCAAGGCGAAGGGTAGGATGGCACCGGATACTACCCTCCAGTGGTGAAGGAACACCGCCACAACCTTTATAAAGATACATTACCCGGTGGACTGCAGTGACATACATTATGTCACTGCACTCCCTCTGACC